GAAATAGCGTGGTATCTGTACTATAGTATCTTTAGTATATGTAGTATTCGTAGTATCTTTAGTATCTTTATTATCTGTAATATCTTTAGTATCTGTATTATTTGTAGTATCAGTATATGTAGTATATGTAGTATATGTAGTATATGTAGTATATGTAGTATATGTAGTATCTGTAGTATCTGTAGTATCTGTAGTATCTTTAGTATCTTTAGTATCTTTATTATCTGTAATATCTTTAGTATCTGTATTATTTGTAGTATCAGTATATGTAGTATATGTAGTATATGTAGTATATGTAGTATATGTAGTATATGTAGTATATGTAGTATATGTAGTATATGTAGTATCTGTAGTATCTGTAGTATCTGTAGTATCTGTAGTATCTGCAGTATCTGCAGTATCTGGAGTATCTGGAGTATCTGTAGTATCTGTAGTATCTGTAATATCTGTACTATCTGTAGTATCTGTACTATCTGTAGTATCTGTAGTATCTGTCGTATTTTTAGTATATTTAGTATCTGTGGTATCTGTAGTATCTGTAGTATCTGTAGTATCTGTAGTATCTGTAGTATCTGCAGTATCTGTAGTATCTGTAGTATCTGTGGTATCTGTAGTATCTTTAATATCTTTATTATCTGTAATATCTTAAGTATATGTAGTATCTCTGTCATCTTTAGTATCTGTGATAGTCTCAAATGAACTAATAATTATTATCCTGTTCTCAACTACAAATTCACCTCTAAATCTCAGGTAAATCTCTCAGTGTGATTTCGTAGTGCTTTTCGCTTAGCAAAATGATTTTTAAATTTTGAAATGCTTAATAAATGCTTTAATTGCATATTTTGCACTTCAATGCAAATGGCCCAGCCGCGATTTATGTGCATCATTGTAGATGTGTCAATGTGTGTGTGTGTGTGTGTGTGTATTTGCATATGTATTTGGCAAAAAGTATGCAACGCATTTCATTTAGATAACCGCAAATATTTACCACAAATGCATTCGCATCACATTTGTAACGTGACAAAATTCCCCTGTGTTAACAGCCAAGCCACGCCCCCACTCCCACTGCTACACACACACTCTTAAAGTGTTAGTAAATTACGCTGGCTTGCATGTGCGTGCGTGCCTGTGTGTGTGTGTGTGCAGGTGAGCGCACGTGTGTTTACAATGTGTACACAATATTTGTTGCATACTTCTCGGCATAATTTATGCATTTCAATTGGATTTGACGGAGCGCGTCGCGAATGCCGCGGCAAACGCAACTGAATCTGCAGAATTTTTACAGTTGATTCTGTTTGCCCCGCCCGAGCCTAACGCAAATAATAATTCCATTCGAATTTGATTGTGCGTCCGTCCGTCTGCCATTTGCCATTGTGTTTTATCAAATATAATTCAATTGCTCACGCCTCACATGTTGGCATTTATACATATGTAGTTTCCATGGTCCATGCCAGCTATCGATTATTTTGGCAGTTAGCGATTTGATTTGCAAATTGGAATTGCATTGTCAGTCGCTAATCCGGACATTAATTACACGGCATATCGACAGCGTTCGATTGAGCTGTATCTGGAGAGTGGAAACGTTGGATTATTACACCTAAAATCGATAGTTATCGGTGGGTATTTAATACAAGAAACGTTAGGGTTAACTGATTATTCTACTCACTATATCCATTATAAGTGAGGTTTAAAGTACAATCGATAGCTACCAATAGTATTTGCGACAATAATATTCGCTCCAATTGATCGCACATTGGTACTATCCCTATATATCAATCTTCAAGTGATATCGATAATTATCGATAAGCTGGTAGCATTGATTAGCAATGCAAGTGCACAATGCAGGCGTGCATGCATTTACTTCAAACATTACTACACCGAAAATTTTCCTTATATGTCATCGATAGTTATCGATACGCATTTGCCATTTAATAAATTTATTTGAGCGTATTTAATAGCATATATATGGTAATTTTACTGATCTAGTTTTATAAATATACATCCAGTTGAGCTTAGCGCAACAAAAATACATATATATCGATAACAATTTATACAACTTTCTTTTACTGTGCTGTCAACATATTTTGCGATTTTATTTGAACTTCTTTCCACAAACTAAAGCCGAGCTTAGCGATTTATATATATCGATAATTTTAATTTGTACTGGATCTCTTAAAAATATATCGATGTACTCGGGTGTAATTGAATGTGCTCCTCAGACCATCATCAGTATATAGTGGTATACTGAGCCGATGTTCAGCGCTGACTTCGTCCGCTGCTAGGCGCTAGGTTCTCCACGATCAGCGACAACTGCTTGGAGCGCAGGGAGTAGACGTTCAGCTGGCGCTTCAGTATGCCGTAGCTGACCGCATCCTCGAGATTGAGAGCCACCTGGCGCTGAAATTCCGGGTCGCTACGTCGGAGGCGCGCGGCCAGCGTCGAGATGATTTCCGTGTCGCGCATCGGGCGCTGCGTGCTCTGCAGCAGTTCCAGGATGATGCGCATCAGATGACGGACCAGGCGACGCTGCTGCGGCACCCGGCGCAGCTTGTAGCCCATCTGCATGCTGCACCGGCACTAATGATCTCTAGGCATTTAGCAAACGAATTTCGAAGGGAAAGTTTTTGACGAAATGTTCGAACTGTGTGTGAGACAGAAAGAGTGAGAGAGGGAGAAAACATGAATAGAGGCAGGCAGCAGGCTGAGAGTATCTCAACAGTTCGGGCAAGGCCAACGCGACCCAGCGCCGCCTCATGGCCAATTAATCACACTACACGGCAAGGGAGAGACGAGCAGGAGAGCCGCATGAACTTGAATAACCTCACGGTATGAAAACGAAACGGCGCGAACAAAGGCGGCCCACGAACAAAACAGCCAGCAGCAGGACGAATATGTGCGGACGAGACAACAACAACAACAACAACAACAACAACAACAACGAGAACAGGAACAACAGCAACAACAACGTGAACAAGTTGAAGGATGAGCCCTGAGCGCGCTGAGCGCGAGCCGCCAGGACATCAAGTGACATTTTGAGCAAAGACAAAAAGTCATTATCAAGGCGACAAGCCAGCAGACAGGACGACAGCCGAGACGAGGACTCCTGCTCATGCACTTCGCTGAGGCATGTGGAGCACGTGGTTGCGCTGTCGCCATGTTGCTGCCTTTTCCGGCATTTTGTTTACGATTTTTGCCCGCAATGCCCCCTCGCCCACTCACACGGATTTCCTTTGGAGCCGAAGTTGGCGTCAGCGATGCCAGTTTTCCCTGAACGATTTGCACTTGTTTGTGCCGTTGGCTGCTTTCTGTTTGAATTTTTCCCCATTTTGATACCCTGTGCTGGCTGTAGAGAATGTGAGAATAAATGTGACTAATCACATCGAGTGAGCAACGCTGAACGACTTTGACTAATGACAAAAGGAAATTAACTAATTATAAAACTATCGATTGCCATTCAGGAGAGTCATCCGGCTACATTTCTACCTGAGATTTGGATGAAACTTCTTTTGGATCTTAGTCACTCAATTACTTACAATCTCAATCTCACAATCTCTTACGCACTTGCGATTATCAGTCATGTCATCGATAATCGATAATTATCGATTCATGATTCTCTCTCAAACGAATTCACTTAAAAGTGTTCGTTCATATGCACATGGAGTTTACACAAGATCTTGAGATGAGTCCCTCAACGATAAATATCGATTTGCACTAAGTTGCTTCTGCAGGACGACAGACCTCTACTTTGCTATGTTAGCCCAGATTAAGATGACAGTGACTTTGGTACACAAATAAAGCTCTGCTTACCCACTATCGATAATTTGCTCACTGATCGATAACCATGTGCTCTATTCACTATTCAGCTGAGGTTGATCAAACAGTTGCTTGCCATTGAATATCAAAAGCCCAAGACAATTGGAATCAAAGCACAGGGTATTTCAAGAGGGTTCCAAGGGCACTCTCCACTAGTTGTACTCCTACTTATTCATTCCTTTCTACTCATTTTTTGTAGAGCAGAACTCTTCTCTCACTTCGGCGTCTCCTTTAAGCCGCCAAGTGCAATTGTCATAAAGTGTCATTGGCTGGCGACGTCGCTGCTGACGCCGACGTCACTGCGACTGTGTGTGTGTGTGTGTGTGTTGTTGTTGATGCGGTGAATCAACTTAAATGAGTATCCGTAACTGAGAAGAAGCAGAGAGTAAAATAGCGCGCCGGAGCTGCCACCCAGCCGACAGGCGAGAGGAAAGGCAATTGGCTTTGTGCGCGATTTAGCTTTGTGTTTTCCCACTGGATGCCCCCGAAAGGAGAGCGGAAGAAAGGAGGAACACAGCGAACGGTGAAACTGTGGAACGATGAAAAGGAGGAGACTCAACTAGCAGGGAGCACAATGTCGGCCACTCGACACAGCTGAAGCCCGAGTCTGTGGCCAGTCGTCGATGAGTCAGTCAGCCTTTTTACAGCTGCCAGACGCAATGAAGCACCTTTTTGGCTCTGGGTCCTTGACGAGCAACAGATTGTGACTAACGTATAGTCGTGGACAAATCTGGACGGATGGAAGGAACCTGGGAGAAAGTTAAACCGCTTGATGTTTGACAGTTTGCTAAGAAATCAGAAATGCTAGTGGGAGCTGGTCTACGAGTTGGAGCTTATGGAGAGTGTGGGAGAGAGAGAGAAAGAAAACAAAGAATGGGAAAGAGATTAGAAAACAGAAGAGAGAGAGTGAGAGCAGAGTAAAGGAAAAGAGTTGAGAGAGACAGAGACAGAGACAGAGAAAGGGAAAGAAAGAATAGTGGGGACGGTGAGAAAAGGAATGAGAGTGACACAACTATGTACATATATTTGCAATTGATACATAGCTTGAAGATTTCAGCTCTTCTCGAACAATTAGGGAGTAGTTATGCATAGCATTATCCAACACTGGAAAGCATTAGCAAGAGTTGTGTTGAGCCAAGAGAAGGCGAACAGAGAGTCAGGGATCAGTGGAGCAGCTGCAGCGAAAGCTGTGTATTTAGGCGGTTAGGTGGGGGGGTGGGGGGTGGTTGCCCCTGGCATTTGGGCTAGTTAGAGCCCAGTTATGCGTCCACGCAGCGGCTGTAAGCGGCTTAAAGGCAAAGCAGGAGCCAAAACGAATTATGCTGCATAGCCGCAGGCAGCCAGTCACATGCGCCACTGCATGCATGCATGTGTGTGTGCGTGTGCGTGTGTGTGTGACAGGTAGTTTTTGGCGAGGACAACTGCTGGCGTGTGGCCAAAGCAGATGCCAAACTCGCCGGCGGGCGGATGGAGCTGGGCTGCCCAAGCTCGCGTTGAGCTGCGACCAGATTGAAAGTGACAGCGCGACGGCTGCAAAATGTGTGAAGTGTGCCGTGAATGGGCCAACAAACAGGAGAAGAAGCAGCAGCAGCAGAAAGAAAAATGAGGCTATGGCCCACCTGCGTGTGTGTGTGCGTGTGTGTGTGGCTGTGTCAATAGGTATACGACGAAATCTGCTTTTGGCAACGGCGCGAATCGAAAGCAGCGCCAAGGCAGCCCAAACAATTGCTGCATAGATGCGCACAGCCAACAACCAACACCCACAGTAACAACACACACACACACCCACACACACACAGCTGCCAGGCAGAATGACAAATGCTTTGATGCCGGCAGCAGCCAATGCTGAAGCTTTTGGTTGGACACTGGCGTCACTTTTGGCTTCTGGACGACACAGACGGCGACATTGAGCAATTGCTATGCATAAATATTCTCACACTGCACACACACACACCAATATACACACACAGACACAGCAACCACCTGTCGTTCGCTTTGGGTCTGGCTGTAAGCTGTTTAGCTCATAAACATAAACAAGCTGTGCACAAATCAAAACAAGTGCGCGCAACATGTTGCTAGAGTGCATGCGCACTGCTTGCCCAGCAACATTGTTGCTATGCACGCTAATGTTGCGAGAGCATGAAAGAGAAAGCACGCTGCACCTGCGCAAAAGGAGACAGCACTTGAAGCCAGACTCACAATTTGCATAGAGCAAATGTTGCCAATGACGGCACGTTATGCCATGTGCAACATCTTTGAGTGAAGTGGGCAAAAATATAGCTACATTTATTTAAGAGAAATAATTTTTTTTTTTTTTTTTTTTTTTTTTTTTGAGTACAGGACACCCTAAGCCCTATTTTAACATAATCCTATAAGCATTGAAAATTAGTTTATATGAAAGTAACTTAAGTATTAAGTTATATTTACATTTAGTTCTTAGTCACATTTATATTTTTGGTTATAAATTTAGTCATGTTTCATATTAAACTCTACCTCACTCGTAAACATAAATTGTTCTTCATTAGGGTGCTGTTTCTCTTCCCCTAGTCAATGGCTTGAGTTTTACTGGTTTTATATACAAAGTAGAACTTTGGATCTATTATTTTATATAGACCAAATTTTTATCAGCAGTACGCGAAGCCACGTGGAAGATATATTAATCTTGTAAATAGGAATCTATTCATCACTATGATTAGAGTCAAAAAAAAGTCGGCAATACCCGACTAGCAGTTATCCTATATGTATTATTAAACTCAGGCAAATATTCCAATTGATTGATACATACATGTATACATCTGCCAATTCTAGGGTATTTTTATGGCATTTCCATGGCATTTCCAGGGTATTTCATTGCTCGACGATGCAACTGTATAACATAGAAATGCATCATTAGTCAAGTATGTACACTTGTATATATTGTATAAATAGTGGCAGGGGTTAATCAGGTGGATAGGTGTTAGCTTGTTTCACCGCAAAGCCATTCGCTGAATTTCACTGTGAGTGGCATTTAGCCATAATAACGGTAATTTCACGTACTTAACTGTTTGCACAAATAAATTGGTATTGTATGGCAGCGCTTTAATCCGACATAAATGATAAACGAAACATATTACAGCGAGTTGCAAAATATACTTATTGACAAATACCCTGTAAATAATGTGCAAACTGAAAGAAAGGGCATGTTGGCCTTCTAAACGTCACACACGAAACAGAGGGTTCTGCTAGTGTACTACTCCTAGCTAATGCATTTCATATATATGTAAGTCAATTGCAGTTAGGGTATGTCGAAATAAATTTAAGTAAACAAGGGTATCTGTAAGTGTACGAATATTGGGTACTAATAAATTCATTCCTTATAAGGGTCTAAGCTATGTATAAAGAGACTTCAGCTTCAGCTATTGGAAAGTAGGATATGTCTGAGTCGAGTATACCCTACATACATATACGTATTCGCATTTATGTCTGTATTGTGAGCTCTGCGCTGTTCGCATTCGAGGTCCAATAATAATGTTGCACATCATTTGAAAGAATTACGCTTGGAATTTATTTATTTTTCTCTCTGTGTGCGTGCGAGCGTGCATGTGTGTGTGTGAATGTGCGTGCGAACGTGAATGTGTGAGTGTATGCGCATTGCATGCCAACGAAATTACAGTATAAAAATGCTGTTTAATTAGCATATGGCAGCAATTAATTAATTTGTAAACCGAATGCAGCAATGCGAACTTTTGAAGCGATGTCCAGGGGTCGGCACGAGGAAGGGGGCGGGGCGGCCAGGCCGACTCCTTATTTTCATACTAAGTCAATTGATTATAAATGAATTGAAATGTAGAGCAGCACAACAAACAATTA